TAATTCAGCTGTACTGACTAAAACAGCTCCTTTCTTGACGACATGTATAGTAGCTTATCACCTAAAAGCTCTTCTAGAAAACTCAGTCACCAACCATCTCATGGAGCATAATATTTTACATTACTTTCAGTTGCCATTTGAGAAACCCAACAAATACAGCAGGCACTTAGTAGACCCTCAGAATGTTCCAGTGACTAATTTCATTTTTTTAATGGGAAAAAAATTGAAGCAAGTAGAGAGGAGACCTAATTTTCTTTTTCAGACTGAATATCTAGCTTATTACTAATTCTGCATTGTGTTGGCTTAAAGTTATATAAAGGAGACTCAAGGTGGTAATTGCATACCTCTAGGCCTGACATTTGAGCTGTCATCCTAGAGTCTTGCCTGATATCTTGTGAGAAAGCCATGCCTGAGAGTTGTCAAAGTGATGAAGTTCCTGAAAGTGATGAATTTTGCTATGGCAGAGCAAAATTCCTACCTTCCTGTGCTGGGATCTGACAGGGGAATCCTGAGTCTGTGTAACTGGTAATGTAGCTGATGATCAAGAGCATCTTCTGGTGTTAAACTGTGGAAATGCTTTTAAAAATATGTGGTTATCATATCAAAGAGACTTCATTCTAGCATATTTTGACAATCTTTATTTCATTTTCCCCCTAAGAAATTATTTACGATATTATATAATTTTGCTTATTAATAATCCTAACAGCTATATTAGGCTAATATAATGCTACTTTGCACTTGACAAAATCAGGAGTAATAATCCATGTTGTTATACCAATTTAAAACTGATTTGTGGGGGTTAATTCAGCCCCAGCTCCTAGCCTTTTGCAGCATCTTCACTCCCAGGCTGTTTTTGCAGGTGACTGGGCTGATGTTCAAACTTGGAGGCTGGTCTCACACTGATGATCTCAGGAAGTGCTTTGCAGCAACTTTTTTGGAGCTGTTTCAAAAGGAGAAGAGCTTTGTAGTGTCTCGTAGGCAATTAGAGGCCACATCACCTCTTGGGAGTTGATGAGCACATGTCTGCTTTTTTCCCTGGAGATTTTCCTCTTGCAGAGGCAAAACTTCTTTCATCACTTTGTGAAGTGGAAAAGCTGTCTAACTTCCCCCTGCCCCCAGTGGGGTTATGAGACTATCTGGAAGAAAGGCAGGCTATATCACTTTACTTTTTAAAATGCAAAAGACATTTCAGAAGGCATCATAAAGTAACACTAAGCAAAAATTTGAGAGAGACAGATGGGTAATAGAAAGCGTCATGTCAGTATCTGATCACTGCAAGCCTTGGCTTTGTGTTTTCAGCACCACGACACAAACATTATTTGATCTAAAGGGAAGAGAATGTATTTTTAAACTACATATTCTATCTTCTGTTGAATTCCAGGCCTTCTGTGAAGGTCTGTTTTCAAATTATTAATGTAGGCCAATGAGGATCACAGACCAAGGTGGAATGGCTGCAAGCATGTGTAATGTGTGTAATGTGTGTAATGTGTGTAATGTGTGTAATGTGTGCAGGTACTGCCAGCTACTCCAACAGCAGGCAAAGCCATTCTGTTCTGCACAGAGCTCCTTGGGAAGGAGAAATGTGTAAATCTCTTGACTTTAGCACATGGGGAAAAAAATGTTGCTTTCTAGCACTACCTCAGAACCTATTCAGCATATGGCTGTCTTTTCAATGTGTAAGCTAGTTAGGATGAATCTGGGGTGGGTTTTTTATTTATTTTAAACTGTCTAGATCTTATTCCATTTCAAATACTCAGAGGATCAGATGAAACTTCTAAAACTTTTAAATGTTTGAAGGATATCAGACTAGCAGTGAAAACAGACAGAAAGCTGCTGGGCCCAGCACTGCATTTTCCTCCTTAGAACAGGGAAAGATGGATGGTGTGAGGGAAGCTGATCTGTTACTGCGATCGAAATGTGTCAGAGCCTGGGAGTTTGGGCATAATTAGACCCCAGTCACAATAATTTCTAGAGCATCTCCAAATGCAGGTACTGCTGCATCAGCAGCATGGAGGCAAATCTAGCATCTCTTTGACAAAGAAATACTTACCTCTTCTTGGTGCAAACTCTGGAATGAGGTAACAGTCCCTGATGGCTCCAGTGTACTTTCACATAGTGAAATTATGGGGTGATCAACTTCTGAGCTATACTGTGTCATCCAAATCACTTGTTTGGGATTTCCAGTCTATTTATAGATAACTGAAATACATTGCCTGTAAAAATGAACAGCATCCTACAAACCTGGCAGTTTTTTATTTAATCATAATTAACTTACAAATAATTACACTCTTCTTTCTATTACTATAAAACAAGTTTTATACCAAACAGAGTAATTAGGAACTTTATATTGTTGCCCACATATGGATATATAGTCAGGTACCAGAGGGTGGAGATGACTTACCAACAAGGTTCTACTAGGAATCCGACCCATGCTCTCATTAAGGGATCTGATTCTGCTTGGACTTTACATACCTGAGGGATCTCTGTAGGTACAGATGTGTAGGAGGTGTCCAGGCTTGTGTTTAGGAGGGCAGTAATCCCAACAAGAGCTGCCCTTACCATAGATGAGCTGGAGAAAAGCACTATCACACTTTATTTTAGTATGCTACAAAAGTCATTATTGAACTTTATTAGGTACTTTAATACCAAGCATACTTTGAAGTAACAAAATGTATTGTTGTTATTACTTTTACAGAAAATCAGGTATTTCAACAGTTTTCTTTACAGTTTGTTGACTTAAAAAGAAATTACAATTGACAAGTTACAATGGAGTGGGATGGGAAAGTGGTAACATTTAAAAAGATAAAACATACTATTCTTACTGAGTCAACATTTAATGATGTACATCCTGGTATGTCTCTCCTTCTGACTGTACAAATTGTACATATTCACTGAGCTGCCCTGACAGTGTTGTGATCTCTTGTGATGACACTTTTTTTGCAATGTTTATGTATATTTAGAAAGGGCTTTTACATTGCACCATCACCATGATTCTAAACAAAATAATATAATACAGAGAAACCCTGTTTTGGTGATGTCTGTCACAGCAGAAGTGCCAAGACTGCAATAATGTGGGATAGAGGTAAACTCAAGGAGCAAATGAAGATGGTGATATGAGAGCACATCCACATAACAAACCCTTTCACAGGCTTGGAGGTGTGAGTGTGGTTGTGAGCCAACAGGAGCAGAGAATGAGGATGGGCTTCACTGAGACACCACTTAACAGGGACTCCTGAATGCATCCAGCCCCTGAGGATGTGCATTTTCCAGCTGACACTGGCTGGACTAATCACACATTTAAAAACCTGTCTGAAGTGGGCCCTTAAATGAGTTTATGCTGCCTCATGTGTGAACGACTTGATTTTTGCCTTCCATCCCCTTCAGGTCAATAGCAGATACTGGGAAGATGTTTATGGTGGTTGACTGATTTGGGTGGGGTTTTTGACCAGCTAGTGCTGGTCCTTTAGAAGTCAGGAGAATTTTCTACATTCAGTTACAAGAGCAGTTTTGAGATTTTAAAAAGTCATTTAGTTTTTTAAATGCTGCCCGGATTCACACATGACACCCAAGTGAAGTCAATGCCATATTGGTACCTTGGTTGTTAGATAGAAAAATTATCTAATTCCCTGTATTTGTTTACTGGCAGTTTGCTTAAAGATGATTTTTCTTTCAAAAGTAAAATAAATTTTTTGAGATTCATGCACTAGGTTCTGGAATAATTTGTGCTGTACAGTCAATAGTTAAAACCAGTTTAAATTCATGTTTACCTCATGTCTTCAGTATTTTGCATTATTTGGGATCAACACTAGCAACTGATTATTATTTTAGCCATTTCCCCTGAAAGCCAAAGAATGAAGGAACAGGCTTTTAAAACCCTGAAGGAATCAACACTGCAGTGTTCATTTTGCACTGGATTCATCTGTGATACACAGGAGAACCTAGAGGCATGTAGGGAGCCATGTGCTCATGGCCAGTCCCGAGCCAGGAGAGACCTTGCCTTGGTGGAGTGTTAGAGAGGAGCAGAGAGGGGTCCCTGCCTCCCTCTGCTGCTCTGGGCCTCGTGCTTGGCACCCAGGCCCTTCACTAAGAGATCTTTGTTCACACTCTGTGCCTGCTCCTGTTTTACGTCTCAGTGGCTTCTGGAACTGAGAGTGCCTTGTGGGACCTGGGGAGGGAATCACTTCCCCACCAGTGCCCCAGGACTATTTGCATCCAGCCCTCACATGGCTATTTGCAAAATGTATTTGCTTACTAGTCTCTTAATTTTTGTATTGAATTTAAACTCGAGGGTTTATGGAGTTGTATTGTGTTTAAACTTAAGGCCAAAAGGTCTCATTAGATCACCTTGTCTGACTGGCATTAGCATGGGCCAGAGAGTGTCACTCCACAGTTGTATGGCAGAAGAGGGAAAAGAAACACCATTGAAGTGAGCAGTACTGTGTTACATTTACGGTGTAAATTACTTTCTCCTATTAAAAAATAAATCAAGGGCATTTATTTTGTCACTTCGAATGCAAACGATTCTATGCATCTTGGGAAATTATAGCATTATGATATTCAGACATACCTTAGAGTATATATTCTTCATAGAACTAGAATATAGGTCAGAAATAATTTATGAGTCTTAAGTTTGTTATAGTCATATTAATTGGAACACATATGCAGTAAAAATTGAGAAGCTTTACAGTTTTAGTCAACTTATTATACAGTGAAGTAAATGAGGTGCAGCAATGTAGCAGTAAAAGTTATGCTTTTTCCACTAGGTGATGGAAACATTCAGAGTCTATAAATGCTAATTTAAGAGAGATGTCCTAACAGCTTCTTGGCTACTGGGATAGGAATAGTCTGAAGTTAACTGCCTCTCTACTGTGAAAGGTTTTAAAGCTTTTTGCTTTCCGTCCGAATTAAAAAAATGACATGTACAAACCTCTTCAATGCATATATATTACATATGTTTATCTAGCAACAACTACACCCCTTTTAATTTATTCCCCAAATGTGACTTTTCATGCATGTCTTCTGGATGCTGTATTCATCAACAGTTTCTAATGAGCTGGTGTGTAATCCATGATTGCATTTCTCTTCTGAAATCACTTCCATGTCTGGCTGATCTATGTTTAGAAGGTGGTGCTTATCCATCAGGCATTTTTGCACTTGTCAGCATTCTTCTCTGTTGGAGGCCCTTTCCCAAGCTTCTTCCCATTTTAATGTTGATGTACAAAAGCTGTTATTCATTTGTTTTGTGCTCATTCTAGTGAGGATTGGCTTAGTAGGACTGTGCAAAACAGAGAAAAGAGAGAAGCTGGTTTACTGCCAGCAAACATAAAGATGTTCATGCTGCGCTTAGCTCAGAGCAAGCCTCTGACCAATATTCTAATGCACTTCATTATATGCATTTCCATTTGTCATGAAAGGTGAAAAATTTAATCTGCAGATAGGATTTGTAATCTGAAATTCTCAAAAATAATTTTTCATCAGCTAATAGACATAGGAAGTCAAAATAATGAAATTATTTCATCTAAAGTTTGAACAATATGAAAATAAAGATACAATGCATATGGGGCAAGAATGACATTTACTAGAGGAATACCATGAATCAAGTTAAGATCCTGACATTTCTGTTCTGTATCAATTACTTCTTTCCCTCGAGGACACAATCCACATTTGCAAACATGATAAAATCATACCCTGTGTTAAATTTCAAATGAGGACAGAGGTGTGGGGGAGTTTTCAAATCAAACTCTCCCTTAAAAACTAATTCTCACTGCCCAGTTTCCATGTACTTCAGCAGAGCTGCATGCGGGACAGGGGACAGGGGCTGTGCTGGCACTGGGAGCAGGGTGACAAAGGCTTCTCCTCTCGCTGCAGGTGACACCCCCGAGCTGGTGCTTCAGGGGCACCATTGCAACCGGGCTCAGTGAGGAAATTATTTATCTGTTTGCAAGTACCCACGCACAGACAAAAGTAAAAACCTGGCTGCCCCAGCATTTGGCAGTGAACAGAAGTTCTTGCACCGAATGAGCTCTGCCAGTTCACCATTAGCTAAACTCTCTCAGACCCCTGAGACCAAGCCATGAAGTCCTTTGTGAGGCAGCCTCTCCAGTGCCTCCTGTGAAAGGGTCACTGCTCAGGGGATCTTACAAAGCCACAGCCTGGGCAGAGGATGGCCACCTTCATCACAACCCCACTTCCTATACCGTAACTCAGGGGCCTCTGCAAGAGACTGCTGGAATGCAGGACTGGGGGATATCACTGTTTTTGTGACAACAAAAGAAAAAAAAAAAAGAATTTCATTGTGAAATGAAAGCAAACAAAGAATTTCAGGGCTACAAACACTTAAAAATATTACTGTAAGGAGACCAAAATATTTAATTTCCTCCCCCCATATGACATGGAACAGCCATCTTCTCCCATTCCCTCCAATTCCCTACACCCTTGACTCCTGTGGTCACCTTGACCTACAGCACCCACAGACCCAGAGAGCAGGATATCCAGACCCTAAAGCCTGGGGTGGTGGTACCATCAGCCAGTGAGCCTGGTGGTGGCAAACCCTCCTGCCATGGACCTTGGATGCCTGCTTCCCCATCAAATTCCAACAAACTGACATTTTTCAAGCAAAGTTTGTTTCGGAGGAAAATTTCTGACTTGTTCAGCATGTATCTATAGTCCAGATTTATTTTACGAGACACTTTTAATTGATGTTGCTGAGACTAGAAGGTAGCAAATAAGTATACAAGAAGCATAAGGTGAACTAGGGAGGGTGCTGAAAAAGGAAAATGGGTCAGTTTTGTTTGTGTTAAAAAATTAATATGAAATATTATGTTCACTGTGATAAAAAGATTTTTATGATATGAATATGTAATGAGATGGTAGTTTCAAATTCTAAAAGAAAGCTCACCATTGATATCTCCATGAGCTTCCTTTTACCCTTTAAAATATGGAGCAAAAATGAAAGAAAAATGTGGATGAGAAATGGACATACTTGTGATAAATAAAATCTATTAAAAATGGTGTGAGTCTGGAACTTTGGTGTATTTTATAAATGTGCTTACTAATGTTATTAACGTGGTAATTAGTAATATACGTAAACAGCCCCACCAAATAAAGCAAATGAAAATGTGCCTGAACCTCTAATCAGATTATTTGCCAAGTGAGATAAGGGGGTTTGTGAACCTCTTAAACAATCCATATTTGGTGAAACTGAAATTTGGAGAAAGATAACATTGCGTGATAAGGAACACATGCCCTGATACTCCTAGGACCAATCAAAGCTTAATAGACCTGAATGAGCCATTCCTTTTAATTCTTTTTAATCATAATTTCATGTACCTGTGTTATTCAAACCCCTAACGTTGCTTATTGGATTTCCAGCTACACTCAGTGTTTCAGCAGTAACATACTAAGACCTTTATTAATTCTTTGGATAAATTTTGCACACAGGTGTTATACACATGGAAATGAAATTTAAAAAATGCCATAGGTGCTTAGTTGACAAGACATAAGTAAGTTATTCACATGCAACATCTCTCAGTCTGTTTTGTATCACACCATAGGCTTTTGACTCCTTGAAGTTTGTTTACTTGGAGCTACTTACAGTGCTGTTGCCTAGAAATCAGTTAATGAAAGCAGTCTTCATAGAAGCTCTATTACCCAACCACCCAGGTACTCTGCTGTTAAGTTCCCTATTTAAAGTCTTTAAAGGCTGCCTGTTAGGCTGACCTCACCACAACACGATTGCTACTCATAATTGGCACATTCAATTAGGGCAATCATTTCTGCTGACTGCAGAGCTGGGGTATAGTCAGCCTGGAGGGACTTACAGCATTTTAGTGTTTATGTACGTTTCAGAAAGAGTACACTGAGGTTTGTTTGTGGTAAAGATGAACCACAGTGAGATTTCCAGGTTGCTCCCTGACAAAGTATAAAAGACATGCAGAATTTCAGATGGTCCCTTCTATATTGTTACCGTAAAGCCAGTAAAATGTGTAAATATAGAGAGAAAGACAGATGTTCTAGGTTGGGGTATGTATTATCTCAGACAACCTTAACACTTTACACCACTAATTGTCACCAGCCATATTGAAATGATCTTTGCCATGTATTCGACTGGCATCTAGAAAATAACATCTTTCCAAGTGTTAATCTTTTATTGCTGACTCCAAACACACACAACTGCTTTGCTAAAGAGCTACTGGCATTTGTGGTCACCCCAAAATTGGTACAGTTACAAAACCACATCAGCTGGCACAAAGCCATGGCTTAATGAAGTACCAGAGATTTCCTCCCAGGACCTCCACAGGATTCCTCCAGCCTAAACATCATCTCTGCTGAATGCTGGCACTGTGGTTAGTGTATGGGAGGAGATGAAGGATGAGAGAAACTGATGCTTAAGCTCTGCAATTGGAAATAGACATGCTGAGGCACCTTGGATAACACTGCTGCCTGGGCTGTAGGCCAAAAAAAATTGGACAAGTTCAGTTTTAATGAGGTGTTGGAGTTCTCACCTTTCTGCTTATAGAACCACAGAATCACTGAGTTTGGAAAAGACCCCTAAGACCATCAATTCCAACTGTTAACACAGCACTTCCACATTCATTCCTAAACCATAACTCCCAAGTGTCACATCAACACACCTTTTGGACACTACTAGGGACAGTGAATTCAAGACTTCCCTGGGCAGTGTGTTCCAGTGTCTGCCACTTCTTTTGGTGAAGAAATTTTTCCTAATATCCAATCTAAACCTCCCCGGGTGCAACTCAAGGCCATTTCCTCTCATTCTGTCACTTGTAACTTGGAATAAGAGACCGACCCCCCACCTGGCTACAACCTCCTTTCTGGGAGTTATACAGCATGATAAGGTCTCCCCTGAGTCCCCTTTTCCCCAGGCTAAACATCCCCAGATCCCTCAGCTGAGTCATAGGACTCATGCTCTGGGCCCTTCACGAGCTTTGTTGCCCTCTTTGGACACGCTGATCCGGGGAGCTCCTTATAACCACAGGTTATATATATAGGTTTTGTTACTTACAAAAAGGGTTGGTAAAATGCTAATTGTGTTAAAACTCCACTTGTAGCCACTGCAGCCCAAAATTCAAACAGCAACATGTATTCATGGCCTGGACAATATTCAGGTGTATATAATTAAAAGGCATGAAAGGCTGATAGATATCCAGCTGCACAGAACAGACAGCGACCCATCATCTCTTATTTCCTTGAAGGTAGTCTCTTTAGAGCACATAACAAACTCTATTTGAGTGGCCTGAGAGAATTATTTTGTTTTCCATGTGATGAGAGAGAGGATTTATGTGTATTCTCATTTCCCTACCTGCTGTGGGTGCCTTTTTCCTCCTGATGCACTGAGCATTCTTTGCCCTGGCCTCATGGGGAGATGCTTATCCATCACCTGGAAAGTGATCCTGGGGCAAATTGTGCTCTCATTAAACAGTCAGGCACCTATTCAGGTCCTCTCCAAGAATCCTGATGATCCAAGCTGAAACTCTAGCACATGTTTTGGAGAAGCTGTCACAGATCATACTGGAAACAGCTCTATGGCCAAGAGAGGAATAAATTGTGCTCTGCTGCCTACACCTGCACTGCAGCTAATACACAGTAAGGAGGGTACAAGGCTGCCCTATGGAGATGGAAAGAAGAATGGACAGAAATTCCCCAACTCTTTTGCTAGAAGCTCTCTTTCAGTGTTTCACTGTTCCGCACCTTCTCAACAAAATAAGATAAATGACCTGTCCACACCAGAGCTGCCCAAATAATTTCCTCTTCCTCCTGGCAAACCAGCAGGCAGGATCTGGCAACTGCCTTCTCTGCCAACATTCACAGCTACCAAAGACTACCTAAAAGGGCAGGGGTTAAAGAGAATGTACAGTAAACCTTGAGGAGTCACTAAAAATTTTACAAAATTTTGGGATTGAAATTGTGTGACGGTTTAGTCCATATGGCATTAGAGGAGAAGCTCATCTGAGCAGAAGGTGTGTGAGCTTGCTCTTCTGCTGCAGCACTTCCTTGCAATAAAATAGAATTGAATCACTTAAAAAACGACAAGATTTTTCCCTGTTCAGTATGCAAGCCCTGTGAAACCAGAGCTGAGTGGAACAGTGGGACTTATTCAATCTGCTGGGTGGTATCCTGCTCACCCTGTTAGTGGCAGCAGCTGAACTCCTGGGCATGGCTTGTGGAAAATCTTTCTAGGACTGTAGGAAATGGTTTCTGAAGCATTCAGGAATTTTCTAAATGTGTGGCTCAGGTGGTTTTGCTGTCAGAAGG